ATAAATTTGTTCACGTTATCCATTAATTGAAACTAAAAATTGAGAAATTGATATTGTTTTTTGTGCCTTCCTTGCTTAATCTAAATAATAATAATTTTTACTGTCTAAAGTTTTACACTAGATGCAAAAATGCTTGATGTCAAGGGCGGCCGAGCCAGTACTGCCCTGTGCTTTTACCAGAAAAGGTCTTTACAGATAAGTTATCAGTAACCGGGTTTAAGACATCCGACTGTGACTGCCTATTAACTTATAATAAAGGGAGTTAAATTGGGGTGAAGCCATAAACACACTAAATGTTTGCGTCTAGTATACCTGATGATAAGACTGTACTTCCTCACTTGGCCTCTAGCTCCTACGGATTCTTTTTGTACTTTTTTTGTATTATAGTTGTATGTTATAAAAATGAAAAACAAAATTCGAATTACGAGCCAATTAATTTCGAAATGTACAAAACTTTGCTGATAAGATGTAGAAAATATATGTATTTCTTTTTGATTGATCATGTATTTAAAAAAAAAGATATACAGAACCAACTACCATTATTCTTTTAAATTTTGTAAATGACTGCCACCAGTGAAATGACGGATTGACTGTACTGTGTCAATGTAAGTATTAAATTGACTTGTGTGGCTCGTTTAAACCTTTAGCATCCTTAATCGAGGTGGGATCGTTGAAGCGAGGCTAATCGAAGCGCTTAGAATGTGATATTGATAATTTAGTTGTACAGAAGGCAACAAAATCACTGTCAAAGAGAGCCATGGATTTATGAAGATTTATGTTCGATAGAATTTTTATCTTGTCAGATTACCGTTAATTTGAAACCAATCATATTCCGTCCTTTCCAAAAAATTTCGGGCAAATGACATTGACACGAAAATCGCATTCCTATTGCTTTGATTGAGCTCATTTTGTCCGAAATCTTTTGGAAACGACTGTACAAACTTTCAAAAATCCACGGCTGCCTTTGATCATGTTTTTTATTGCCGTCTCGTATATACTTTTTCGCTTACGCTCGGGAAGTATTGTAATCGAGTCCGTCGACCGAATTTGTAATTAACTTTTGAATCAAAATGTATCTGTGTATCAACCGTAAAAAAATTATTACGTCATTTCAAAATTTTGCCGAATAAATGCTAGCTAAAGTGTGCAAAATATAATCAGTCTGTACTTGTAATTTATCACTGCATTCATATTTTTTAGATTTTCTTATACAGGATGACTCAAAAAAATTAATAAGTCAGTCAATTTATTTTATTGAATAAATCAAGAATTGCAAAACTGAATGCTTTGAAATCTTGCGGACGTTTTAAAGTCATTGTAGCATGGTAAATTGTTAATAAAAATAAATCTGGTTATTGGCCCCAAAAAATTGATCTCAAAAATTTTCCCGAATAAATTCTACCTAAAATTTGCAAAATATGATGAGTTTTTACTTGTCATCATTGCATTAATCTTTTTTATTTATCAATCGAGTCACTTGATTTTCCCGAAAATGTGAAAATACGAACGTCTTTATTTAATAAGAATTATAATAATGACATTCAAGATATTTTGTCGACTGTAGCTTACTACTTAATAATTTTGATCCTCTGTTTTGACGGGACGAACTCATTCAAACCAAATTAATTTTTACGTGACATTCTTCCGATGTATAAACATAAACACTTTCAAGTTGTTTTTCTTATCGAGGATAACCTAAGGACGTACAGTAATAGAGTCCATCGGGAAATTTGGTACTTTCATATTTTCTCGATTTTTTATAACCCCTAGACAATCAGGTAACTAGGGGAAGTCTAGGGGATGCTGAGCGTCCCCTAGATCTAGACAAGTTATAATTAACCAAGAGCAATAAATAAGTCTGGACCGTGGGCATTGTGATCCGGTTATTGCAATTCGTAAAAAACATCTTTTAGTTTAGTTTCTGTTTCACTCTCACGTCTACAGGTTAATAAGTAGTGTTATCGCTATTTGTCTTAAATTACAAGTACCATAAATGATTTTCAGTTGAGTAATCAGTCGCACCTCTGTTATTACATATGGCAAACGTGATTAAATTGTTTTATTATTTTATTGATTAATGAATCATATTCAAGAATAACAATAATATAATACTTTTATTATTAGTACTACAATGCATCTATCCAAACTGATATATGCGTTTTTGCAAAAATGTGGATGACATCAACACAAAAACAAACCTTTACTCAAACATTAGATACATATTTTTATTTTAGCTTATAATAGTTGCCATAAAAAACAATAAAATTCGCAAAATCAAATCTTTTAATTTTTCGAAAGAGCTGGATTTGACAAGCTGTACTTTATGGACGAGGGAAGTTCTGTCGAAGTAATCTTCGACCAATTTTTCATTCTATACAATTGATCTCTTGCTAAAGTTGTGTCAGAAAAATAAATTTTACATTTTTTTGTAGAGCAAATCGAACAGTTTAAAAATTTGTACAATTTTTAATTAGCAATGCAATTCGGTATTCGAATTAAGTTTAAAAAATTTTATTAATAAAATTGTTGCAGCAAACAACATTGCCTAAAAAATAAATATAACCTTCTTGATGATTTGAGGTTTAAATTGTTGAAATATTTTTTCACCTTACCTACTTCAATCCTCCGACTTCAGGAAAATTACTTTTCTCAAAGTGAACAACAAAATAACGTTTGAAATACTAGGAGGAGCTATTTTGATCCACGAGAATTTCCTATTCAATAATCCAATATTTCTTGTTCCACACACAAACCGCTAATTTTGCCTCTAACAACTTTTTGACTTTAATATTAGAGTGGATACAACTTTTATGATTTGACAGATGCTATTTTCATAACAGGTGCTGTTGATACAGTTTACCTGATGGTAAACTCACAACTTATCTATCTTTCCAAAATTTAGAAATGTTTCATCTCATCCAAACAGCTCAATACAGAAAGATGAAATAGTTGATTTTAATATAAGATTTTCACTTGAATTACTCCTATCTCTTAATTGCTTTCTTACAGTGAATCTAAAAATAGCAACTAAATGGCAGGTGTGCAAACTACAACTTAAAAGACAAACAAAAAGCCACAACTCCCTAGAATGGTGGAAATATCCCAGGTAAAACTTTTTCTCTTCCTTTCCTTTACACATTGTGTGAGACAAAAATATTACCAACTTTTGAGTGTGTAGTAGGAATTTTATGTCAAATTTTGAAATTTGTCATCAGAATTATTTGTCAAACAGAATCTTTGGTTTATTTAACATTTTACGTTCAGTTATATGTATTAAATGTGTTGCATTATCCAGAAAAAAACCATGATCTTGTTCAATTTAAGAAAAAAAGAAAAACAAGTGGCGGCCGAAATGTTAAAAATTTCTGAAAAATCGTTACATAATTTACTAAAAAATACAGGTTCAAGTGGTACGGAGTACAAAAAAAAATTATCTACTATCAGTAATATAAAAACTCGAGTAAATCTTGTAGATTTAATGTTAATCAGGGAAATTGTGTATAAAGTGATTGCATCTAACGAACACGTAACTATTAAGTCGCTTCATGATAGAGTTATGTTAGAGATAACGGACTTTAAAGTTGGACCCAGGGCACTTAACACATGGATTATAAAAGTTGGTTTTAAATATAAAAATAAAATCGATTGTTTTCAATGGAAAAACTATGCACTAAGCTAAGAAAAACGAAAGTTTTGGGCGAATATCAGCACCACATTACACCAAAATTATAGAAACCCCTTTTTCTGGATGAAACATGGATATTTAGCAAAGGTACTAAGTATATGTAAAAAAACATGGCAAGACGATTCAACATAAACTGCAATTAAAAAAACGGAAGAAGGATGTAGATATATGTAGTTCCACTGGCAATAAACACGGATTTACTGAAGAAGCGTCTCTAATTTTTAAGGCAAAAACAAAATCTGGCTATTAACGTGATAACATGAACCAGGAAAGCTTTGAAAAGTAGTTTAAGGAGCAATAATTGATACCTAATCTTCCGGAACCGTCTGTTATTACAATGTATAATGTAACTTATCACAGTAGACTTCTCGTGTTCATTTTATTTTTGATAAGTACACTCTACTTATATTTATGCTTTTGTAGGCAGAAATTCCTCGAAAGAGTTAGACAAAGAAAAAAGTGGTGCCATGGTTAAACACAAGATAGATAGATTATTCTGAAAAAGCGATAAAAGATCAAATTTTGAATATTGTACGCAATAGACTTTCCGAAAAATAGTATCATTTAGATCACTATGCTCAAAAAGATGAACATTGTGTCCTAAGACTTCCACCATACCACTGTCATTGTAATGCAATTGAAATGGTATGGTCGGAATGTAAAATGTAATAAACCAAGTTCTCAATATCCCAATATACTCTGGGAAAATTATATTAAACACACGGAAAAAATCATAGATTCGGCATGGCAAACAGAAAAGATTCTGGGTAATTGTCAAACAAATCATGTCATTATCGATGTTAATTCCGTTTCAGATGATAGTAATAGTGAAGATGATGACAGTAGTGTTGATGATTTAGAGTTGTGTTAAAAATTAATATCTAATTAAAGAATAAAACTTATAGTTACTCAGTTAATTTTGAACTTCTTCAATTTGCATTGGTATGTTTCTAAGTATAGCAAGTTATCCGTAACATCCAAGAAAGCACTAAAAAAACGTCACAGTCTAAGTGTTTTGAACAGGGATATTTCCACGAGTTTACGTAAAACCACCTTCAAACATTCACTAACCAGCACATAGCGACCGAGTCCTTCAAATTAAAAATTAATTCAACCGGTTTATCAATGTTTCATTTGTTGAAAGTGTAAAATTGATATTTATTAGAGATAATCTGACCAGAATGTGAATATAATTTACAACTTTATCATTCCATCTTTTACGTGAATTGGGAATCATGCACCATTTACACATAATATTTAAAATAAATAGGATAAAAACATTCTAATTCTAAGCCTAGTTGTGTTAATTCAATACCTGATGCGGCCTACTAACCGGCGGCGGCGCCCCCATGCTATGGTGGTACATCATGTCGTGTTTGAGTTGGGGGAGACCCCCAGGTCCTCCCGTGCTCTGATGTTTGATGTCGACGGCGGCTAGCGCTTCGGCACGGCTTATCAGTCCATCGTTGAGTCCCGAAAATAAGTCCCCCTAAAAAAGCAAATTACCGTAATGACCGTGCGGTTAGAGCAGGCCTCGAGCAAGCAGAACAACAAAACACAAAAATACCTCACGCATAAGACACAACAGGCAATCGTGGTGTAAATATTGAATTAGGCCAGCGCTCAGCAACGTAAACCCGACTCAAGCCAGACTACTTCAAAATTTATGCGTCGGAATTATGATAAAATGATATGGTAAATTATTTATGATTTTTTCACTAACTTTTGCACCGGTTAAGGAATTACGCCCGCTTTATAAATAAAGGACTTAAGTGATACGTCTGCTCTTTAACACATTAAAAATTTATGCACGTCGTTTTCAAAAGCTATGCGCTATGTTTGATTTATTTAGCGTAATTCTCACCTGTTGATGCGACACGATTCTATCGACTCATAAGATTTTCTTTTATGCAATAAAATCAGCTTTACTGTAAATCTATGAGCTTTAAATGCGGATGTTGTTTGTTTGAACATGAAACATTTCACATTTTAAGATGACAAGCGATAATCTGTTCCGTCATTGTGTAGAGAGAAAATCTATTCTACAGTAGGATGGTGGATTTATAACTCATAATTTAATTATTGCTTCTGGTTTGAATGCCTTTTCACTATTCTCTTTTACATCTCTTTATTTTTATTTAAAGGAAAAAACTTGGCACAAAACACGGCTTCAATAAACAATAAATAAATAAATAATCTCTGAATATTTGTCACCTATAAACTTATTAGGTACCTACCTGGGTCTAAAATTGATTTAGTTTCCAACAAAAAAAAATATATAAAACTGGATTACTGTAAAAATAATAAATACTTCCATTATACAACTAGTACAACTACTATACTGCAATATAAAAATAAGTGACTCGCTGTTAATTAGTATATACTGAACAGATTTCATATATTGTTCCAATCAGAGGTCTTTAAATTCGGCAAAGCGTAAAATTGGACTATTAATTTTAAAATCCCGCATTTTGTTATTTGTTCAGGTTTTACCAGTGTATGTTTATTTATGAAAAACGTAAATGTTGATCTTGTTAGTGCATTTTTAGTATATAGAGTTTTGCTTTTATTTAATTAAGTAATTATGTAGGTATTTAAAATGTTATTTCAAACATGCTTACTCCTCGAACGGAAGCGAGGAAAATATTATAAACAGGATACATTTCACGAACGACTAATTTCATGTTTCCTCGACGCTTCATAGCTTCTAGAATACGAAAAAGTAGCTCTGTCATGTGTATGCCCGTCTGTAGTTTGTCATTTCTTGACGATGCTATTAGATAAATCAAATTTTAGATTTATTTTAACAATATCATGGTAAAAAATCAGTTTAGTTTTGTCGAGAGAATGTCAACGTAGTTGGCGAATCGCGTCGACAATTTTTTTTTGTGTGATGACGTTATTTCGACAAAGTTTTGCAAAATAAATCCTACCTGAAGTCTGCAAAATAATATGCTTCGAAGTCTGCAAATTATTAATCCAAACTTATTTTTAGCTCTACGAAATTTTACACTTTATCTTAAAGTATACAAAACCGATTGTTCTAAACTTTTGTTCCCGCTTTCAGGTTATTGTGCACATGATAAATAGTTGATCAGCATTTTTATATCTTCGTCTCTTCCAAAAACTTAGTGATGTTTTAAAATTTTAATGGAACTTCAATAGCTCAAAAAATATGCGTCTATACAAACATATAGGAATAGATTATAAAGGATGTCTTAGAAAAGTGAAAGAAAGAAACAATTTAATAGGTATGATAAACCGTTTATTCCATATTCTTGAAATTCTAGTAGCACTGCTGTTTTTATTAAAATGATACATTACAAAATTTTATTAAGAAAATCCATATCCTCGTTCAAAAACGAAACCTAAATTTTGTTAGTGAAATATAGAAGATGTCACTAGTGATTAGTCACTACAGGTATACCGATCTTGTATGTCCCACTAATATCAGCCTGTTTGTCTTATTAGGCATATAAGATTAAACACATTCCGGACACCAGACAACCATTGAAATAAGTTGTTCTGATGATACCTAAAAATACTAACACTGCAGTCTTTAGATTTTTATTGAGTTGCCTATCCTTTAGCGGAATAAATTACACGGAAACTTAACTTCTTTATTAGATTGTGCTTCCAGGGCGAGAGAAGTTGTGTCTAGACAATTTTAGAGCAATGCCACTATCATAAGCACATTACGAAGAAACATTTTATCATTTTTATCGAAGTCGGTTTTATGTAACTGCTTGCTTTTTGAATTTTTTTGTATTATATTTTATTTTAATCGTTAACGTGTCCATAAAATCAAAATTTAATGACAAAATGCCATCGAAAACTGCAATGGAAATGTTGTTAGTGGTTCTGATAAACCCACTGATCTTACAACATTTTAATATCAATTGAAATTATATCCTTATTCGTTTTTAAATTAATGTATGGTTATCCTATATACAGTACAAAAGATTTATACTTAAAAATTCTTAAAATTATAACTTTGTACATATACAATTAACTTAAAAATTACTTATTTATTACGGTGTCCCGGATAAAGTTCCGCGCTCTTATATTTGAGAACGGATAGAAATATTGAAATTCTGTAAACGCCTTTGTTACTGGCTTGAAAGAGGAACCTTAATTTAGTACACTGCAAATATGACGTTGAGGTCATGGCCCAAATTTATATTTTTCTAAAGGATTTTGATATGTCATTGAATTCCGATTACAATGATATATAACACTTATTATATGTTTTACGTTAGTTAGTTAGTTTTAACTCTAAATAATATAAAGTAATGTCAAATTTTAGGGTTAGAAATCTTGAACTGCTGTAAAACTTCTTTATTGACTGCCGAAAACGGTTGAAATTTTTAATTCGGAAAAACATGTAAGTATTATGAAAATTGAATTTAGATTTAATGACCTCAGATTTATTTTCGTGGTGACACATAAAAAAAAATAAAATAGGAATATTTGTGCCTTTTTAACACGTAATACTCGATTAACCGCCACAAGTTAAGAACTAATAAGAAGTTTTGTGTTCAGTGCGAAGAACGACAATGCTGCTTGTAAAGTAAAGTGGTAGTTGTTTTATTTCACTCTAATTCGATTTTTTTATTCATAAATTTTATTTTCTTATTGACCGAAAATGAAAAATGTGTTTTATACCAATAATAATTGCAATTTAATGATCTGTCAAAATCCGTCACGCTGCAATTTAAAAAAATATAGGTGTGCGTCCCGTCTTGCAATGTAGTAAGTTATAAGCTTTTCTCTTCAAGCTAAAAATAATGGCGTTCACAAAATTTCAATATTTCCATACGATCTTCAAGATATAGAAACGCGGAATTTTATCTGGGATAACTGTATATATGTTACCTAAAATGTAAGAGTTTTCAATTTACAAAATATACATATCATGCTGACTTAGTTGTAGAGCAATAAACAGTTTAGTTTCTTTTATATAATTCATTATAGACAGTTTACAGAAAATATAACTCATGTCTCATTAGAAAAGTGGTATTTAAAAATAGCAACTTTGGGAACGGCAACATAAAGACGGTTAACTTCTATGGCACTCAATCAAGTTAGTTTCAAAACTACTACTGATGTTCGCAAAATAAATTAGGATTAAAGAATCTATAAAATAAAAACTATTCAAGAATATTATAAAATTTACTCTAGCACTTTGGATTGCAATAAATATATAACTAAAACAATAATCTGAACCAAAGTAAAGAAATATAAGTTATTTTACTTTCTGGCAAATTGGTCTTATCCGAACTGCGGTCCACATTTTATTCAAATAGCAGATAGTTAGGTACATGGATACTTTTGACAGAATTGAGCTCCCTTCTCGACCTATAGGGATACAGGGGGTTATGGCAATTGAATAAATTCGGAAGATGGTAGAAATATCATTTATTGTGTTATAATTTATAAACCTAAATCTTGGGAAAACCAAATTTTGTTAGACTCAAACTACTTAGGTCATTAACAATAACAATATCATCACAATTTACTGATATGTATGTGTACATGTGTTTAGTAGTTCCTTAACAATAACAATACCATCACAATTTATTAATATGTGTGTGTACATGTGTTTAGTAGTTCGTTTTTCTATACCGGGTGTCTAGAAAATAATAAAAAAATTCTTTATGATGTGGATTACAATTTTATAAAAGAAAAATTGGCAACACTGTACGCACCTAATGCGAGAATACCTCCGGCTTACTTCCTGATTTCTTAGTAATGATGGCGACTGAAATCCACCTTTTATTATTATTTTTTTTTAGGACAATAACAATAACAACCAGTAGTCATTAATCGTTGTCCATTATTATTAATAAATCAATTAAAAAAAATATATTTTAAGAAGACATTTATAAATTATAAACAAAAACAAAAACAACAAAAGAAAAATCCATTAAAGCATAATCAACTAAAAACTGGAAATGTTCAAAATTCCTGCCTTGTGTATATAAGTAGGCTCGTAATGTTTCCAAATTTTAATCATTTTTTGTTAGTTAGTCATCAGTACTTGCTAAGATAAAACTGATTTTGGCAAATGACATATTCTCTAAGAGAAGAGAGGGCGGGTGGGCGGGGCTAGTACCTGCTAAGATAATACTGATTTTGGCAAATGACATACCCTCTAAGAGGGTGGGTGGGCGGGGCTAATAGCTGCTAAAATAAGACCGATTTTGGTAAATAACATACCCTCTAAGAAAACAGAACAGGAATAACTAGAACCTCAAGATTGTTTTAAATTGTTGAAAAAAAAAGGCCTCAAAATTAACCTAAAAACAGTTCAGGTCAGAATTTTCCAAAAAAAAACGAACAGTAAAATCCCCCAAAATTGTTTTAAATAATTTACAAAAAAAATCTCCATGGGCTCCCAAAATAATACACCAAACCTGCGGCAGTCAAGATTTTTTCAGATTCGTATAAAGTAAAACACTAAAAGCTCAAAAGATTTTTTCAACTTTA